ACACACACACACACACACACACACACACACACACACACACACACACACACACACACACACACACACACGGCAGGTAGGAATTATTCACGCTGGAAATGGCGAAGGCCCGAACAGAAGCTGTGACACTTGGGATGAAAGAGGAGGGCTGGAGTTTAAAAAAAAAAGGAAAGTTACAATTGCTGGGACTTGGTAAGAGGGGCAGGAAAGATAATGTCCAGGTTTTAGTGACTAGGTCACGGTAGTGACAACAGAGGAGACGAGTAGGTCTGCCGGGAGGAAGAGGTCATTTCTGGCTCGCTGCATGTGAGGTGCCTACGGGACAGAAGGATAAAGATGTTAGGAAAGTGGTTGTAAAAGTATTGTACCTCGTTTGGGTAGAGATACAGACTTCCGGTGCCACAACATACAGGTTTAGGTGAGCAGGCACAGCTGTAATCACCAGGTGTAGTCAATAAACTCGCATCTTTCAGAGGAACCGCCTCTACGCCTCAGAAGAATACACCTAGGCCCACAAGTCCCCCTCCCAGAAAGTGCGCAATCGCCTCAATCTTTCTGACAAAACTCCGCCGACCCAAGTCTGCGCATGAGTTCGGCGCATGCGCACCAAGGCTCCCCGCGGCCGCTCCCTGCTCCTGGCGCTCCGACTCCTTGCCTCTCAGCGGCCCCGCCCAGGCGGCTGCCCGTGACCTGCCTGGGTGCAGGGAACGGAAAGCCGGGAGGGGTGAGACGAGTTCAGTTCGCCATGGGGCTGTTTGGAAAAACCCCAGAGAAGCCGCCCAAAGAGCTGGTAAGGGCTACGGCGGCGGCACCGGAGTGGGTGGGTTTGCGTGGGGCGTGATAGAGTTGGTAAACGACTGGACAGTCTCCCCCCAGCGGCTGGCCAGGTGCCGCTCGGCCCCCATTTCCGGGGCCTCCCACTCGACTGAGGGGCCGGAGGAAGTCTCTTAGGAAACGGCTGTAGCGAAAGAGAACTCTGGTATTCCACTCCACAAGGGAGCCGAGGGTCGGGTTAAGACTTCCGCGGCCTCGGCTCCGGGCGCGGAGGCAGCAGCGCCGGCCTCGCCTCTGGAACCCCTTCCCCGGCGCGCGTTGGTACGTCCCGCCGGAACCTTTCCCTGGCGCAGGCCCCGCCCCCTCCCTCCCTCCCGAGGACAACTGGCGTACCACCCATGGTTCCGTGGTACCCCGAGGACACCGTCCCCGCCGCAGGACTGTCCGGGCGTTCCCCACCCACTGCGCCGTATTGAGAGGGAGGCTCTGGATCTCATCCCCCTGCCCTCCAACGTTCTGTTGGCACCAGACGCACAATTACAGCAGGGACCCCACTCGGAAGAGTGGTACAGGAGATAACTCTGCATCTGGCTTAGACTTCAGAATCTGCCTGTCAACTGCGATCACGTCGGGATACTGTGGAGCGGTTGAGTGCCCTGTGGAGTCCGTGTGCCTAAGTTTGTAATCTGGTTCCGCACACATCAGCTTTGTCATGTAGGCAAAGTTAATTTCTCTGAGCCTTAGTCTTGGGTGTCAAGTAGGAATGATAATAGTATCACTTAAGAGTTATTGAAGATGAAAGGACGTTAAGTTTTAGCTAGTAGTGCTAGTTAGGGTAAATTTGTGTTTTTGTTTTGGGCCGCTCCAGGCTGCTCATGGGATCTCAGTTCCCGACCAGGGATCAAACTCTGGCCTTGGCAGTGCAAGTCCGGAATCCTAACCGCTAGGCTATCAGGGAACTCCCAGGGTAAATTATATATTCTACAACCTTGCTCTCATTGGCAGGCAGATTCTTAACCACTGTGCCACCAGAGAAGTCCAACCTTGCTTTCAAAATGCAGACCAACAATATCAGCATCACCTGGCACCTTGTTAGAAATCTTGAGCCCTACCTGAGACCTATTGAATCATAATTTGAATTCTGACAAGATCTCCAGTGATAAGTATGCACATTAAAGTTTGAGAAGAATTACAGCACCCAGTACAGACTTACACATAATGGGAAACAAACCTAAAATCTTTCATTTAATAAATAGTCTTACATGTTCAGCTCTAGCAGGCCTGTTTTAAAAACCAATGTCATGCGTCATGAGGTTGTCGGCACGTAAAGTATGTGTTGATCGTATTTGTTAATGATGGGTACTAGAACAGTAGGCACTCAATAATTATTAGTTTCCTCAGGCAACTTACGCAGTTTTACTCCCTGGTAAAATAAAAATTGTGGAGCTTAAATGAGGTAAGAGTATGTGACATTACTTTTCAAACTGTATAACATTATATAGATGCACATTTTGTGGCATGTATATATTCTGAGGTGCTTGTTATTATAGAAGTGTATTTTTGACGTTAGGAAGGATTATTACCTTCAGTGTTTGGTCTTAGGTTTGCCATTCATAAAGGGAGAAGATTATGGGAAAACAGTCTCATTACTATTTAATCTGATCTCTAGTATATGTATTACTTGAATAGCACTGAGACTGCTTTTAAATGATAAATGTAATTGCTAAGAGCTCGAAGATTGTATAGTCTTCCAATAGGGTAGCCTACCTGTGAAAGTAAGTTAAAACCTGAAAATCACAGGGTTGATGCACGAGGTTGTTTTTTAAAATATGCCTGCCAGAGGGATATTATAAAGATGAAATAAACAGCCAAAGAATGTATCGTCTAGCAAGTAAGATAAGCATTTCAAGAACAAGTCTGGATTGGGTATCACATATATAGTTACAGGAGTTCAGAGGTTGGAGTGATCACTCCCAGACTTGTGTGATTAGAAATGATTTGGGGGACTTCCCTGGTGGCACAGTGGTTAAGAATCTGCTTGCCAATGCAGGGGACACAGGTTCGAGCCCTGGTCCTGGAAGATCCCACGTGCTGTGGAGCAACTAAGCCTGTGCACCACAACTACTGAGCCTGTGCTTTAGAACTGTGAGCCACAACTACTGAACCCACGTGCCACAACTACTGAAGCCCACGTGCCTAGAGCCTATGTTCTGCAACAAGAGAAGCCTCCGCAATGAGAAGCCTGTGCACCACAACAAAGAGTAGCCCCCACTCGCCGCAACTAGAGACAGCCCACGCGCAGCAACGAAGACCCAGCACAGCCAAAAATAAATAAAATAAATAAATTAAAAAGAATAAAAAATAAAAAGGGGCTTCCCTGGTGGCGCAGTGGTTGAGAGTCCGCCTGCCGATGAAGGGGACACGGGTTCGTGCCCCGGTCCGGGAAGATCCCACGTGCCACAGAGTGGCTGGGCCTGTGAGCCATGGCCGCTGAGCCTGTGCGTCCGGAGCCTGTGCTCCGCAACAGGAGAGGCCACAACAGTGAGAGGCCTGTGTACCGCAAAAAAAAAATAAAATAAAAAAATAAAAAGAATGCGCCTGCCAATGCAGGGGACACGGGTTCAATCCTGGTCCAGGAAGATCCCACATGCCAGAGAGCAACTAAGCCCATGCGCCACAACTACTGAGCCTGCACTCTGGAGCCTGCGAGCTACAACTACTGAGCCCACGTGCCACACTATTGAATCCCGCGCGCCTAGAATCCATGTTCCGCAACAAAAGAAGCCACCACAATGAGAAGCCCGTGCACTGCAGTGAAGAGTAGCCCCTGCTTGATGCAACTAGAGAAAACCTGTGCACAGCAACGAAGACCCAACACAACCATAAATAAATAAATAAATAAATAAATAATTTAAAAAAATGTTAGAGTGAAGCTGTACATTTTTTTAAAAAAAGAAATGATTTAGCCCTCCACTGTCATATTTTCCACACACCTCCTGCCTGTGAATTGTTTCTTGACTCTCCTTTTTTAAAAAAATATTTATTTGGTTGCGCCGGGTCCTGGCTGCAGCACGAGGGATCTTTGTTGTGGCATGCAGGATCTTTAGTAGCAGCATGTGGGATCTTTTTTAGTTGCAGCACATGGGATCTTAGTTGCAGCATGCATGTGGGAACTAGTTCCCTGACCAAGGATCAAACCCAGGCCCCCTGCATTGGGAGCATGGAGTCTTAGCCACTGGACCACCTGGGAAGTCCAGGTTCTTGACTCTTTAGTAGGAATTTTAGTGCTAGATTATTTACTTTAACTGGTACTGGAGGTACCCTGCCCAAGATTTTCTTCAATTTCCTCTTCACGGTACTCCAAGCTATCCTTTGAGTTCTAATTATACCTTGTTCTAATTTGTCAGAAGAGTGTATCTGTTTGCTTTACATTCAGCTTCTACCAAGCTCTTTATACCTTGTGATTTATGAGGAAATTGTTTTGTCACCTGCCACAATTATTTAGCATTGAATTTGTAATTCCAGAAAGTGCCAATAAAGCAGGAAGGAGAAGTACTTTTTTCTCCATAGAGCTGTGGAAGCACAGGTAAAGTATTGAGAACCAGTATATGAATAAGAAGACAAATAATGTCTGACATTTTAGTTTTAGTTTGGCATTTTTTTGAGAGGGAGAAGGAGAAAACTTAAAAATTCAACTTTATAAAAGAAGCTAAATAATGGAAACTTAAAAAACAAACCAAAATCCAAGATAATGTTGGCAGAGAGAGAAGAGTTAGAGGAAAAAGAGAACCAACTAAATGCTGTAGAGTCAGCTGGGCAACTCTTGAATTAGGATTGATTTATAGTATGCCTTACACTGGGGACTGGAAGATGAGGTCCCAGCACAGAATAAGCAGGGGCCAGGTGCAGCCATGCCACGCCACACCATCATCATTGTCATTTAGGCCATGGAGACAAGTCAGGTCAGGCAAGTCAGGTCACGTCACATATACATATTTATGTTATGGGTGATGACCCCAGAGCTTTGGTAAAGTATCCAGCACAGAGTAGGTGCTAAATAAATATTGAGTGATGAATGAGTATCAGAATAAGATTAAGTAAGTTTTCAAGTCAAGTAGTTTTAAGATGAGCAGTGTTTCAAGGGATATTCCAGGGAAACATTAGCTGTATAAGGGGCTTTACAGACTAAAGTCTTTGCCCCCAGCTATCTCAGATACTTTGATGGAGACATCTTAGTGGCGAAACTTGTTCTATCTTAAAGTGTCCAATTTAAGACTGGATTGGGCCTGCTGAGGATGAGCCTTTTAATCCATTTAGAAACTGAGACTGTCTTAGGATGGGAATCAAGAGGACTTGAGATTATGCTTGAAAGAGATTCTTTTCTTGGACCCGAGGTTCTGCTGGAAAACTGTGCTGTCCTCACTTAGGGACTTTGCTAATTTAGCCTTTGGGTAGAACATGTCACCTTTTATGGCATCAGAATTCTGAAATCATGTAACTAACTTATATCCATAGACTGAGTCATGACACATGGTTGTGGGTTGCTATCCGAAGGGGGAAGAAAATGAGAAAGGGAGATGGAGGAAAAGAGAAGGCTTCATTCACTTAGTTAATACAACAAACGTTTATTGAGATATTTTAGTGTATATTGGGTTGACATTAGGTTTGCAAAAATAAGACACTGGAGAACAACTTCAAAGGATACCAAGTTTTGGGGGAGGCTGACATGTGAACAAATGCTTATATTTTAGGGTAAATAAGAGCAATAATATAAGTATGTACAAGATCTATGATGTCACAGTGTGTGGGGGGAGTAACTTACTGT